CCATCATTTCTGGGGACTTGAAACTGGCCTGGGTCTATCTATATTGAGATATCTTTGTCTAAGGCCCCCTTTTTGAGACAATAGAGTGAGGGTCTTGTTGTGCTTAGATCACGTCCCCAAAGCCACCACTGGAGACTTTAGGTACAGAATGCAAAAGTAAGGTGTTTTCTAAGTTTACAAGGCTCCAGGGAGGCTCTTCCAAATCTCTCACTCACAGCAGGGAAGTTGGAAGGAGCGCTCCCCTTTCTTTGTGAGGCTAGTTCTTTTTTTTTTTTTGGTTTTTCGAGACAGGGTTTCTCTGTGTAACTTTGCACCTTTCCTGGAGCTCACTTGGTAGCCCAGGCTGGCCTCGAACTCACAGAGATCCGCCTAGCTCTGCCTCCCGAGTGCTGGGATTAAAGGCGTGCGCCACCCCACCCCCCACCCCCCGGCATGAGGCTAGTTCTTAAAGGCACAGACCATATAATTTATTTTAACCCGCCTCCCTTTTTAGTCTTTTGGTCGAATATCCTGACTGTGTTTTCCAAAGTCCCTGTAGCAGATACAGCCACCTGGAGAAAAGGAGTCTAAGTTCTTATCTACACTTAGGAATCCTGGTTTAAGCTTCTCTTTGTCTGTAGGGGATAGAGTGGGAGGTTTTACTGAGGTATCACACTCATCTCATTCTTACCCACCTAGTTCTTCCCCGTCAGGCTCTTCCTCATCTCCCATCTTGGCCTTCTAGTTCTCCATCCAGTCCTCCAATCTAGTCCCCAGTCCCTGAGGTTTGCAGTTATTCACCCCTGCAGCAGCAATGCTCTGGCTAAGGCAAGGTCACCAGGCTTGAAGTCTTACAGGGTCATAAAGGCAGACAAGAGTTTTCCTCCAGCAGTGACCATCAGGCTTTCTTTTACAACCCAAAAGGGAGTGGTAAAGGAGGAGGTCAACTAAGAGCTGAAATCGGTTAATATATCAGAAAAAGGGAATTTATGTGTTCAATCTACATTCCTAGAGGTGGTTACGTAAAATGTTAGGAGTCTGCGATGTTAGTATAAATACCACTAAGGCCGTATAAGAAAGGAGGGTCTGGGCTCAATCTGCACAAGAAACAAAGCTATGCACCTAGACCTAGGAGACAGGCGGTGTCTCCATAAGGGTGTTTACCTTAATTCAGGAGACTCAGAGGTTTGTCTGAAATGCTTTGTCCTGTCTGCCTTTTGCTTTGAATGCTAGAGAAGTATATCAGATAAAATACACTGTTAGACATTCTTGGGGAAGGTATGAGAGCACACAAGAAATTCATAGCAGGAAACAGCTGGCATATTAAAAGCTGAATACCACCAAATACTCCTTGATATTTGGGTTCCTCTGGAAGAATTCCCTGATTCCTCCAGGTGTAGCTTTACCATATTCAGCTGAATTCCCACTACATTCCTGCGGCTCGTAGCATTTCTCCCTGGAACCAGACACCTGACCTGCTCACCAAAAGTCATACATCCCTCCATGGAATTGATCCACTCCCTAGAAAACAATAAACTGCATTAAAGGTGCAGTGGTTTGGATTAGAAATGTCCCCATCCGTCCATTTCCCCCTCCCCCAAAGTCTGGAGCTGCCTTAAAAAAGAAAAAGAAAGAAGCCTTTCAAATGATGTGTTAAATGACCGTTATTAGTCAATACTCTGAGGTCATCCCGTCCTCTTCCCTACCTGGTCACCAGCTCTGGGTGGAAAACAAGGGCAGGTGACAAACCGAGAGGAATACTGCGGCCTGAGAGATGGCGCCGTGAAGTGCTCTACACAGTTCGGAGTCTGTTAGACCTGGGCGCCACAATGAGCAGGAAGGGAGTGCAAAGACAGGAGGATGCTGGGAGCTCACGGCGTCCAGTCTCGAGGACTCAGTAAGAAAAACCTGTCTCAAAAAATAAGATCGCCTGTGGCGCACCGGGCCTGGCTGGCCTGACACTTGTGTGTAAGTAGACTAGAGACCGGCCTTGAACTCATAGAGATCAGCCTGCCTTTGCCTCTGGAATGCTGGGATTACAAGCATGTACCACCAAACCCAGCCCAAATTTTTGAAATATTTAAAAATAAAAGGGAAGGGCTGGGGGGGGGGGGGTGTTAGCGCACACCTTTAATCCCAGCACTGGGGCAGCAGAAGCAGGTGGATCTCTGTGAGTTCCAGGCCAGCCTGGGCTACAAAGTGAGTTCTAGGACAGCCAGGGCTACACAGAGAAACCCTGTCTCAAAAAAAAACAAAAAATAAAAAAAAAAATGTGTGGGGGGGGAACGACAACAAATTCATCCTGGGCCTACAAGATGGCTCAGGGGTAAAGACAGTTGCTGCCAAGTCTGATGACCTGAGTTCAACCCCAGAACCCACATTTGTGGAAGGAAAACTGACTTCCACAAGTTGTTCTCGCTTGTCCTCTGCCCTCCACCCACCCTCACCACCCACCCTCAGAGGCATGTGCACACGCGCACGCACACACACACACAAATAATGTAAAAAAGAAAAAAAATGTCATGTTTTTCAACAGAGGCCAATAATTATGCCGGAAACCATCTAAAACAAATTTCCTTTTGTTACTGGAGACTGCACATATACTAGGCACCTATTCTAGAGCTAAGCTGTACCCCGACCTCAGGCTGTACGTATGTCTAAGGTTTATATTTTTAATGATGTGTAAGTGTGTCTAAGTGAAGTTCAGGTGCCCCAAGCGACCTGGAGTCTGATCCCCTGGAGCTGGAGTCACCGGTGGCTGTGAGCCACTCACTATGGGTGTCGGGAAGTGAACTCGGGTCCTCTTCAAGAGCAGTGCACATTCCTAACTGTTGAGCCTTCTCTCTCATCCCTGAAAATGTCTTGGTTCAAAGTGTACGCATTTCCTAGGAGAGACAGAATTAGCTGGAAGGACAGGGGAAGGGGAAGAGCCGGTTATAACCCCATAGGAGCCCTGGGGTGTTCAGGGCGGGGGACATAAATGTTCTGCGGTGACTGTGGTGTGGATAAGGTTGTGTGGTGTGTCAAAACGTGTGGGTTTTTTCTCTTTCATGATGGGGCTTGAGTCCAGGGCAAACCCTATATTACTGAGCTATACCCCAGACCAAAACTGTACTTTTGAATTTGCTTGTTTTCTAAGACAGGATCTTGCTATGCAGTCTAGGCTGCCTTTGCCTGGGTGCTGGTATTCCAGGCAAGTACTTGAAATTCCTACCTCTAAAGTATACTCCTTTTTTTTGTTTTGAGACAGGGTATCTGTGTAGCCCTGGCTGTCCTGAACTCGCTCTGTAGATCAGGCTAGTTTTTTTTTTTTTTTTTTTTGGTTTTTCCAGACAGGGTTTCTCTGTGTAGCTTTGCGCCTTTCCTGGAACTCACTTGGTAGACCAGGCTGGCCTCGAACTCACAGAGATCCCGCTGCCTCTGCCTCCCGAGTGCTGGGATTAAAGGCGTGCGCCACCACCGCCTGGCTTAAAAGTTTTTTTTTTTTTTTTTTAAGATTTATTTATTATGTATACAGTGTTCTGTCCGCATGTATACCTGCATGCCAGAAGAGGGAGCCAGATTTCATTACAGATGGTTGTGAGCCACCATGTGGGTGCTAGGAATTGAACTCAGGACCTCTGGAAGAACAACCAGTGCTCTTAACCTCTGAGCCATCTCTCCAGCCCCCAAAAAGATTTTATTAATGTATGTATGTGTACACATGAATGTGTACTGTGTGTATCCAGGTACCTGTGGAGGCCAGAGGGAGTCAGATCCCCTGCAACTGGAGTTCTAGGTGGTTGCAAGGTACCTGATGTGGGTGCTGGGAACCAACCCAGGTCCTTTTCAAGAACAGGAAGCACATCTCTCCAGCCCTAAACTGGACTGTTTTGTTTCTGAGACAGTGTACTGGCTGCCCTTAGGGTCCTGACAGGATACACCTCAGCTGCATGCACCCCTGTCTGAGAGCACCCCTGTGCACATTCCTCATAAAAGGCGGGCCCTGTTACCTCTGTCTTTCTCTTCCTTGGCTCTCGTCCCCAAGGACCGGTCTCTGTCCCCTTCTCTCTCCTCCTCTCAATAGACCTCCCAAGGGTATGGTGTGACTCCTTCCCGCCGTTTTTAAAATGCAACAGACAGGTTCTCATTATGTGGCCTTGGCTGCTCTGGGACTCGAGAGCAAACCCAGCTGGCCTCTGAGATCCACCTGCCTCTGCCCCCAAAGTGCTGGATTAAAGGCGTGTGTCGCCATGTTGAGTTGAGAAGTGTACTCACAAATGAGGTCAATTTTATTGTCACTTTATTAAACCTGCCTTTCGGGCCAGGACACAGCTCAGTGGAAGAGCACTTGTGTGGTATGCATAAAGAACCAGCTGTGATCCCCACCAAACCGGAACAGAAACCATAAAAACAGGCTTTTTTAGAAAGCATACAGGGTGCGTATGGGTGCTTTCCCTGTATGGATGTCTGGGTGCTCCATGTGTGCCTGGTGCCCTTGGAGGCCAGAAGGTGGGTGGTGTCCAAGTCCCTGGAACTGGGGTTAAGGACAATGGTGAGCGTGGTGCTGGGGAAAGAAACCAGGTGCTCTGGGGGGAGCGAGCAGCCAGTGCTCTAACCACCAGGCCATCACTCCATCCTCCATCCCCTCCAGTAGGTAAATGTTCAACTCAAAGTCCCTGAGTAAAACATACAGCAGAAAAATTTGAAGCCTAATTCTGTTCCCCAGTTAGAAACGAGGGTCACCAAAGTCGGCAGACATGCAATAGCTCAAGAAAGAAACCGGAAGCCACCACCATGGCCCAGTCAGGAGACAAGACAGAGTGGACGTACTGTGAAAATTTTTATTACTGTCTCTTGTGGTAAAATAACATCTTATACAAATCAAGTCACCTGGTTGGTTCTGGAATGAGGATCTTGGGTAAAGTGGGAAGGACAGAGATGTTTCTCATGTTCTGTGAAAAATAGATTTACAGGGAAAATAGACTTTCACAATTTCAATGAAATCACATGATCCTTTGAGAAACAAGGTGGAGGGGAACCTACCTCCCCCACCCACCCTGTGGCTATGATGCTCTGGATACGGAATGTGGACACTGTCAGAATCTGAGTCTATGGTCAGTGCCAGGCACTGTAAAGCACTGTCCTTGGAATGGGAAATATCCAAAGCCTGGAGAAGCTTCAGAGAGTCCGTGCAAGACAGAGCTGAGCTAACTGGAGACAGCAGCTGATCTCAGCCCCAGGGACTGGCACCTTCCTCCTATGCTTGTGGTTTAGAACAAAGAAGAGCAGATGAACTTCATCTTCAGAGAGGCAGAGGACAGCTCAGCCCAAGGCAGAGAGAGGGCAGGAATGGAGATCAGGCAGCGCCCTGCTCACAGCAGGAAGGCTTCTGCCTGGCTGCTGGGAGGTTCTCCTGGGAGCGGCTATCTGCTCAGATTCCTGCTCTTGACGCAGGGCATGGCCTCTCCACACTCTCTCTCTCACTGCATCACAGGAAGCCACTGTGGATGGCTGATATTCCTGAACACATGACTTCTGACTCGGCTTCTGCTTGTTACTTGCAAAGTATGAATTCCAGTTTCTATAAGTCAGGTACAAACGGTGGAAAACAGCAAGATGCTTCCCTAGGAAGCCAGACACAGACCACTGACCTTCAGCAGCAAAGGAAGACCAGTCCATCCTGCCAACAACGACCGAGCCCTGGTCTGAGTGGTCTTCAATGTGACCACGACCAACTGAAAAGGGGACGAAGCCCTTCTCAAGCTGGTGTGTCCAGCTCCTCCATCCTCTGGAGCTTCCCAAGCAAAAGCCAGCAGTACAGGCAAGAAACAGCAGCCAGAATACAGGAGCGGCCCAAGCTGGGCTCCACTGAGCAAAGACCCCGCAGCCCAGGAATCTCTTCCTAGGTAGTATTTATTTAAATACTGAAAACCAAATCTCTCCTCATCAGACCCAAACAGAGCAAGGAGCACTCTGAACTTTGTCAAGAACATGCACATCCCAGCAGAGGAGCCACGTGAGAAAAGGTACTGAGAAGCTGCTGTCTGTCACAGGTCAGGAGGGAAGGAGGGCGCAGCAGGTCCCCTGCAGCGCACGGGCAGAGCACACTTAAGGCACCTGGATTTGGAGTGGACTCCAGTTCTGAGATTCACCAGAGTGGTCAGGAGGTACCCACCCGGAGGGCACCTGGGCTCTCCAGTCTCAGTGGGTAAATCTAGTGCAGCATGAAAAGTAATTAGGGCTTTCTCCTTCCGAAGGCTTCCAGCATACAGCACTGTCAGTTGCTGGCCAGAAAGAGAACACGGGACCAAAATTCAAGGCTCCTAAAGCTCGAGAAACCAAACACAGAGCAACACTGGCCAAAGGATGTCCTTTCTCTCAGAGAGCACTTGGGCCCTGCTCTCATCACAGGTAATGTGATACCTCAAAGACACTTCTGCACGCCTGCCCCTTACTCCTGACACTTCATCATTGCTAAAAGGACCTGAGCCACAGCAGAGGCCTCAAGCAGTCCACAGAGACAACCTGGGGAGCCAAAGAGGAGGGTTAGTCAGTGAGGACCGGGGACACCTGACGCCCACGACAGCGCAGGAAGATGTCTGAGGCCACAGTGCTCTGGCGGGGCCCTTTCCAACACTCAAGCTTCCAGCAGCTTGAAGGATCGATCAGAACATGCGTCACTCAGGACCATCCGCCAGATGGTTCCAGGAACGACTTCGGGGAGAAAGGCAGACAGACAGGAAACATTCCTAAGCAGGAGACCCAGAGTTCCAGGGACGAACCCCGGCCTAGGCCCGTCTTCCAGACTCGCTATGTAAACAGTCAGCTCGCTCTCTATGCGGCAGCCAGGCTACAACTACGTCTCTCCTGCCATGAGCCAGGTCAACTCTCAGAGATCTACCGTATCACAGGCGCCAGGGCAGACACGGTGTACGAACTCCCCAAAGAAGTCAGACTAAAGAGCCCAAAGCACGTCACCCTGCCCTGAACTCAAGACACTACATTCAGGGAACAAAACCCACGAGGTCTGCTGCAGGAAAAGTCAAGGCCAGGGGAGCAGAGCGCCCCCGTGTGGCCTCCAGAGTAAGAACAGGAAAGCACCACCAGGCTCAGGCCACGGTCTCCCCTAGGACTGGCTGTGGGTCCCCAAGGCAGCTAAGTAGCATCCTCAAAAACTTGTCTTTCAGTCTGACATCACCTCCCATCCTGGTGCCTCAGCCCCAGGCTCCGCCCTCCCTGTCTTTTCGAGTCTCCTCCCGGCGGCGGCCTCAGACTGTGCCAACGCAACACCACGGTGAAGGAGGAAGTGAGCTGCTCTCAGCTGCCCACAGCACCCAGGAAGCGGCAGAATGGCTGGTAAGCCGAGGGTGGCCCAGCCTGAGCCTCCTCACTGACACACTGTGCCTGGACAGTCAGGCCTGTCGGGATAACCAGTGCACGGCTAAGACTACACAGAGATGAACTTTTTTTCTGGATCCCAGGAAACTTACGCTACTCTTTTACTTCACTATAAAACCTCTGAGAACTAGGGGGCGGGGAAAAAATACCGGGAAAAGAAACTGCTGGCCGGCACCTCCGTGGAGCACAAACCGCCACCCCAGCGGCAGCTTCCTGGACCAGGTTCAACGGGTGTTGACAAGCAGGAGCTGCAATTCCCCCATGTGCCTCGTGGTGGCAGCAAAGGACCTCCCCTGGCCGCTCCTGCGGCACTCACTGGCCTCCATTATAGGCGTAGTCAGCCTTGTTGTGCATTATCAGCTTGTTGTCGACAAAGTAGAAGCTATCCGAGCGGGTCTCATATGGGTTTTCGATCATCAGACGAACTGCAGGTTGGAGGAAGGGAAGAAAAGCAGAGAATGTGAATCTGTCCCACAACTAGGTATAAAAACCTCAGTATCCTTCCAAAACTGATAAACCAGCGCTTTGCAAAGTTTGACTCCGCCACCTCCAGTAATGTGGTAAAACAGAAGAAGCCAGGGAGATGGGAGGGCTCCACGTGGAACACCAGCTCCACTCTGTAGTCATCCCTCGCCTGATTCTTCCGGCTCGTATCCCAGGAAACAGACTTTCCCTCTGTCGCAGCCACCTACTTCCCTGGTGCATGGCTGGCCTCGCCAGCCCTGGCTTCTGGCCTGCTGCCTACCTCTAGACATCCCAGTAAAAACCCTGGTCAGGCCTCTCTCTACCTGCTTCTTTGGGTTGTTTTGTTTGTGGAGACAGGATCTCACTGTAACGCTCTGTCCAGCCTCGAACTCAGAGTTCTGCCTGCCTCTGCCATCCCAAGAGCTGGGGTTTGTAAAGGGAGGCGCCACCATGCCCAAATTACTTGGTTTTAGTTTTGTTAATTTTTAGAAATGTATTTATTGCATGTGAGTGGGGTTTTTTTTGCCTGCATGTATGTCTGGGTGCCACATATGTGCTATACTTGCAGAGGCCAGTAGAGGGCATCAGGTGCCTGGAGCTGGAGGTAGAGACTAGAGCTGCCTTGTATGTACTGGAAATTGAACCCAGGTCCTCTGATAGAACAGCCAGCGCTCTTCTTACTCATCTCTCAAGCCTTCCTATTTTTTATGCTCCCTGAAAGCCGAAGGAATCCAGAGAAATAATGGGGAGCATTCTCTAGAGAGGGCTCTGGAACTTATGTACCTGTAAGATCCAGACAGAGGCCTAGAACTGAAGCCTGTCTGAATACTCGCCTCGCCCTCTCTCCACAGTGGTGACTATAGTCACCTCCTGTCAGTGCTGATTTCATAGGCACGAGCATCTCCAGACCCCAGGGAGAGGCATCGCAGGTCTTAGAAGGTGTCAGAGATCTTAAGATCTCTGAGTTCATCCTGGCCAAAGCAATTCAGTTTACATCCAGACTGACCTCCAAACCCTTTGGCTATTTGGCTTAGCAGGTTAATCTATTCTTGCAAGTTTCTGCATATTCCAGGCCAACTCACGCCCAAGTGAGATGTCACAAAGGCCCGCCCACATCTCAGCAGACTTTCGCCTGGGTAGGGTTGTCAGGGCCCACTCCACAGTGTGAAGGACCCGAGACTCTGAGAGAAAAGGTGCAGAGGAAGCGAGGACCACACAGTGGACTGTGAGAAGCGAGAGGAGGAAGAGTCTGTCTTCTCTACTCAGGGCCCGGGGGTGCCTGTGTCCCCCAGAAGCAGTCAGGGCACGAAACCCAAGACTCAGGTCGGACAACATCAAGTCATCACCACTTTCCTCTCCTGGGTCTCGAGGTTCGCTCCCTGCGGACCTCAGAACCTACAGCACCGGGGAGGCGCGGGGAGTACATACTGACGTCCTCAGAGAGCTGCGGGAACTCGTAGATGTGTTCACACGTGTTTCTACTGCTGGGGATGCAGAAGCCGAAGTCAAAGTCAAAGTTTTTCAGCAGACGCTCCCGGAAGTAGTGCCGCTCAATCATCCGGAAGTTGGACACAGGTCTGTCCCCCACTGTGAACTCTACCCTGTAAACAAATCTCTATTAGCCTGCCTTCGCTTCCTCCTTCCTCTGAAGCCACCCTCAGCCCACTGAGCACGGTCTTCCCCAGAACAAGCACGGCGTTCTGCCCATCAAAACAAGAGCACTCACGTGGCACCGACTGTCCGGAGGCGCAGAAAGGCTGGTGTGAACTGATAGCGGACGAAACGCCCTACGCTGATATCCACATCGACACTCTCCTCCTCTGCGTCCTGGTCTTGGTCTGAAAGAACACAGCCTTGCCTTAGCATGCCACCAACCACACAGCACAATGGCTGACTAACAGGCTCGTGCTAGTTACAACAGCCCCATTTGCCACACACCAGCTACCAGGCTTCACAGCCACCCTGCAGGGAAGAGCTACTTGTTTCTATTTTAGACAAGAAAACGAGTTCAAAAGGCTGTCTTGCCCAGTGTTCCTGCACAGTTAACGAAGGCAGCAAGTTCTGAGTGCAGTCCACCTGCCTAGAGTCTGTTCTTAAATACTGACAAATGCCTTACACCATTCCGGCAGGGGGCATGTCCTGGGTGAAGCCAGAAACACCAGCTGGACACAAAGTCCTGACACGACCCATCACACAGACTGGTCTGTTCTGACCACTAACCAGAGAGTAAGGTCACAGAGGTTTAACAGGTCCCCGTGTCCCTTCAACACTCGTGGTTTCAGTAAAGACACTGACGTACAGCCTCGAGGCACTCCTGTCTATTCCAGGCCTTTCCAGGTCCAATTCTCTGACTACCTGGAAAAGGGTGGAAACAGACTGGCCAGGAACCAGCACGTGGATCGGCATGGGGTCAACGCTTGCCTCTGCTCTAGCCTACCGTGAGTCCAGAGAAAAGATCTTAACTGTTTTAATGTGGACACAAAGGGAATTTTCTACTGCCTGAGCCCACGGGTGCCTGGGACGGCCCAGGCGCACTGGGAAACTACCCCGATTTGGGGCTCACACCTAACGGCTAAGGCCCTGGATCCGCTGATGTGATTCCCGCTCATGAGAACAGGCCTTGCAGGAGGACGTGAGCACCTGCAGTCAGAGGAGCCGCAAAGGCAGAGCTGGGAAGGGTGGAGAGCCGAACCTTGTGGCACCTGCAGCAGGTCTGTCTGCAGTGCCTTGGTCACCACTGGATCATGACCGGGAAACACAAGGCAAGGCTGCGCCGCAGCTCAGTAATCAATTTAAGACTTTCCTAGGGTAGTCTGTCTGTCTGTCTGTCTGAGTCTGGAGACCAAGCTGGGGCCTCCCCCTGACCAAGTGCTCCACTCCCGAGAGACAGCCCCAGCTCGGGAAAGCTGATTTCCCGGGGACCCCGACACCTCCCTTCGCGGGGGTGCAGGCTCATGCTGAGTAGCACACCAAATGAGAAGAACTTTGCAAATCAGAAATCACAGGACGGGGCCAAGAAGATGGCTCACCAGTGAAGTACACGGAGACCTGAGTCCCATCACCATGACCCACAGCGGGAGGAGAGGACCAACTCTCCTAACGGTCCTCTGACCTCCTCATTTCTGCTCTAACACACACACACACACACACACACACACACACACACACACACACACACACACACCCATATACACGGCAATAATAAAAATTAAAACCAGAACAAAAACCTCCACTGTGACCCCAACCCTGAGATGTGGAAGTGCAGGAGATAGCTCAAGGTCATCTTCATTTCACCAGTGATTTGAGCTAGCTCTAGCTACATGAGATTATGTCTCAAAACAAAGCCCGAAAATAAAAACCCACAACAGAGCAAAGGTGAGGGAGTAAGCCGTTCTTGGACCTCAGAGGACCCTGGTGACTAGATTCTTGGATTCATCTTTTGTCACCCACAACCAGAAAGAAATGTTATCTTGGAATCTGTTGTATACTTAAGAATAATCTCTTATTTATTTATGAAAAATAAAAACAAAAACCCACGGAGCTGGGAAGCTGGCTCAGCAGTTAGAACACTTAGTGTTTTTGCAGAGGTCTCAAGTTCAGTTCCCAGCACCTCGTACAGCTGCTGGCCCTACGGTTCTAGGGGTCCAGCGCCCTCTTCTGGTCTCCAGAGGGAACTGTACTCATGCGCACAAACCCCCGACGGACATACACTGTGGCACACACACACACACACAAAGGCGGGACTTGGTAGGCAGCCTAAGGCAGTATTTAAAGACAAGCAAGAGCTTTCCTCAGTATCATCGGGCTGCAGGGGTCGATCCTGCCACCGTAGGCATGTGTGACTCACAGAACAAGCAGGACCTTAGAGAAGTGTCACATGTCAATTCTGGGTCTCAGCTCCCTCTCAGTAAAAAGTGGCAAGTGACTCAGTGTCATGATTACACAGGCAATGTGCTGAAGGACCTGGACAGTGCCACCACACAGTAAACATCTGCTTCCTAGGCTGGCTGTGATGCCATGAGCCTGTAATCCTAGCATATGGCACCCTCAGCTATCCAGCAAGTTCTGGGCCAACCTGGGCTACATAAGAACCTGTCCCCCAAAACAAAACCAGACCAGTGAGATAGCTCAGGTACAAAAGAGCCTGCCACACAATCATGGCACCCTGAATCCAACCCCTGGACTCCACATAAATGTGAAAACTGCGAAAAGTTATCCTCTGGCCTCCATGTGTACACACTGGCACATGTAGCCACCACACATTTATACATACACACAAGAAATAAATAAATTAAAAAACAAAACAACACAAATCAGCCTTTTAACAAAGCTCCAAACTAGTGCGCCTGGCAGGCGAGGCCACAGGAAGTGATCTCAGCCACGGAATCGGGACACAGTGGAATCCAGAAACACACGTGTTGCTGGCACACAAACACTGAGCTTTCCACAGACCTCTCCTCCCCCAAGCAGTGGGTGACCCCCACAATACCCAGGCCTACCTGAGATGCAAGGTTTGGCAATCTCGAAGAGCACCGTCCCCGTCTCCAGGTCTCGGATTTTGAAGCGGGTAAAATCAATACTGTAGACATTGTCTTCAGGTTTACATAAATAATCTGAAAAGGAAAGACCAATGCTATTAAGTAATCTCCCCAAATTACCATCTATTTCATTTCCTGGTTTTGAAGCAAATGTGTTCTTCTCTGATGCAACTCACTGAAAATGTTCCCCCAAACATTCTCTTTGCTTTTTATTTTCTAAGATTTATTTTCAATGTATGGTGTTTTGTCTTCGTGTAAGCACCACATCTGTGTTGGAAGAGGTCAGCACTGGGCATCAGAACCCCCGGTATCACAGCTCCTGGCAGTTGTAAGATGCCAGATGTGTGCTGGGAACTAAACCCAGGTTCCCCCGGCTAAGTGCTTTCAACCACTAAGCCATCTCTCAAGGTCCAAACAATCTCTTTTAAAATTGGTTTGACCTTTAGTCTTACTTTATGTGTGTCTTGGTCACTGTTGTATCGCTGTGAGGAGACACTGTGTCCAAGGCAACTCTGATGAAAGAAAGCATTAGCCAGGAGTTTGCTCACAGTTTCAGAGGCTTAGTCTGTTAGCATCGTGGTGGGCACTTGGCAGCACACACGCCACCTGAGCAAAGGCTACACCCTGATCTGCAGGCAGCAGACAATGCCAGTGACACCTCCAAATGGACCGCACCTCCTAATTCTTCTGATCCTTTCAAACAGCATCACTCTGGTGACCAAGTATTCAAATACATGAGCCCATGGGGGCCCTTCTTATTCAAACCACCACAGTGTATATGGGTGCATCTCATGGGTACAGTGTCTGCAGAGGCCAGAAGAAGATGTATCCCCTAGGACTGGAGTTTTCGGTAGTTATGAGCCATCATGTGGGTGCTGGTAATGGAGCCCAGGTCCTCTGGGAGAGCAGCCAGTACTCTTAACCATTAAGCCATCTCCTCAGCCCCCAAACACCCTCTTGCATTATCAAAATTAGAAAATTCAAGAACAAAAAGGAAAAGATGCAGAGCGAGATGCCTCAGAGATACATTATATACATGTACGACACTGTCAAAGAATAAAGATTAAAACATATTTAATACATACAAGTAATATAGGGGTTGTTTGCCAACTGTATCGGAAACAGATCAACAAACTTTTCTGGAAAAGGCTAGGTTACAACTAACTCAGCCACACAGTACATGACATTAACTACTCATCTCTCAGGGTAACCCGAAGGTCTATGGGCCGGAAGCGAATGAGCGAAAAGGAACTGTGGGTGCCCACGGAAGCCACGTTTAATGACCACCTGTAACAAGAGTTTCACATCTACTTCAACCACTTAAAAGGTTAAAGCCATGCGGAGTCTGTGGGCTGCACAAAAGCATGCATACATTAGCAGGGCAGCAGGAGGAAGGGCCAGTGGGAATGCGAGGCCAAACAGCACCTTCAACAACCCGAGAAGCCAGTCAAAACCGCCCAGCACAGAAATGCTGTTGCCTCGGCTGGCTCCCCACACACAGCGACGTCTCCAGCTCCTTCCGGGCTCTCTGAGCATGCTTGTCTGTGTTAGCTGTTCCGGGTCTTACAAGCGGGTCGGGCTCCAGGGAGATGGCGAACTAACTTGAGAGCTGCTCTAACTCCAAAACCCTGTGGCGTGGGTTCTGAGTCTTAGGAGGCGGTCAATAAATAACTCACGGAACAGAAGAATTTAAGAGCGACAAAATCCAAAGGTCACTAAGCTCTCTCTGTCAGTGGCTTTCTCTAAGGATTTGCAGAGATGGGCAAAGCCTTCAGAGGAGGCCTGAGTGCTGTTGCTATGTCTACGGGGCCAGGCATTTGATGTCCTAACTCACTCTTGATGGCAGGAGCCGGCAGGATGTTAGCGGTCTGTACTTTCAAATCCCCAAGTGAAAACCGAGAACTGAAACAGCTTTTCACTGTTCGACTATCTAAAGTTGCATTCAGGCAGGCAAACAAGAGTTCCGCCCCGGCGTTGGGAAACTGGGCCATCAAAACATCCAAAGTCCAGTCAAAACTATTTCAGGAGATAGAGCTCTTCTTCTGCACTGGCTGAACCAGTCGTAGCCACTTTCCCTCACACTCCATTTATTTCCAAGTCGCCAGAGCTACCACCACCGACAACCTGAACTACCCCTCACAGCCTTGGGCTGAGTGAAGCAATCGGGCGGACACTCCGGCATCAGGGAAGCGGGGTTAAGAAGTCTCAAGGGCAGGGGAGATAAGGAGGACAAGGCAAAGATAACCAGGTGACTGCAAACTCCGGGGGGGGGGGGGAAATAATAGCAAGGAAAAGGGTATCAGGTCAAGGCCGGACTTGGCAGCTTCCAAAAGACAGAGAGTATCAGGGAACAGACACGTCTTTCTTCCCACCCTTCCTTACGCCTTACATAGACAGGAAGGTGGCTTTTTATGCACAAAAATAAAAAATAAATTAAAAAAAAATCACACTTCTGAAACCCTGACACAACTATAAATTCACGGCGGGGGGGTGGTAAAAAAAAATGTCAAGAGCAAGATCCGCGAGCCAGCTCGTACATACACTGGAACTCTTAAACTTTGTGTGTGTGTGTGTGTGTGTGTGTGTGTGTGTGTGTGTGGCACAGCTTTGTAAGTCTGCACGAAAGGCGAGCGACGGCCACGTGTTTGAGGCAAGCACAAGCCCACCTGGACACAAAGGGGCACGGCCGGGCCCCCCACCCCGGAGGGGACCGGGCAGGGCCGAGTGGGGGAGGGGCTGTCAGGAGCCCGAGCCCTCGGAGGGCAGGGCGGGGTCGGCAGGTAGGGGGCTCGGGGAGGAGGAGGAGGAGGAGGAGGAGCAGGGCGGCCGGGGGCCTGGCTAAGGGCTGGGGTCCCAGGCGCACGGGGTCGGGCCAGGCCCGGGCACCGCTGGACTCC